GTTAAGTTACAACTACTTTAATGAGGGTTTTTTTTTTTTTTTGGTGAACAAATTAATTTTAACTAGTTGGGTGTCTTGAGTCAGGCTGCTTCCAGCCCCCGCTGTTTTGGAATTTCTCATTTTATGTGAAGCTTTCGGTAGAACTTAGATATTGCGTTAAATAATTGCAGATAAATCAGGAACCCATGGCATTGAGGTTGCAGCAATTCACAGCACTAACTAACCCCGTGGATGGTCCCAGTGGAGCTCAATGGGAGGTTTTGGTGTTCAGCATATTTAACAATTAGAGGGTGGAGGGAAGGGGACTAAAAGGACCAACACCAATAGAGTTAAATGATCAACTTCAGTCATCCCTGCTGGAAAGTTCTGGCCCAGCAAATTTCATGGCACTGTTACAGCGAAGTCAATGGAGCTAATACCAGGGACAAACCTGATCCCAAACCAGCACCATTTGAATAATTATTCGGACTTGATACATACCAGCATCATGATTGGTGCCATATAAGACCCCAAAACAAACAGTCCCTGATTCAAGGAGCTCACAATTCAAAACACCAGTAGAGACAACACAAAGGGGGACATTCTACCCACACGGTAGCCAAAAGAAATATTGTTATTGATTTCAGTGGCAGCAGAATGTGACCTAAGTAACCCAGGGTATGTCTACACTACAGTGCTATTTCGAATTAACTTAATTCGAAATAGTTAAATCGAATTAAGCTAATTCGAAATAACACATCTATACAAAAAACCTATTTCAAAATAGCACATCCACACTGAGTGGACCTTGAACTGAAGTTAAGGCTGGCCAGAACCAGTGCCGGCAGGGCATCAGGTTAGGACTTAGTGTGTGGGGCTGCTGCCTGAGGCTAACTGAGCTCCGTGCTTAAAGGGACCCTACCCCCACCCTGGACAGACAGTTCTCTAGGTTCCCTGCTTGCTTGTCTACCTCGATGAGGGACAGCAAAGCAGTCCTGGCTTGGAGTGCCCTGAGTGACCGAACTCGGGACACCACAGCACTCAGCCACATGGAGCCAGAGCTGCCCCTGGACATGCTGGTGCATCTCGTGGGGTCGTTGCCATCAGCCCAGCTGCACTTGCTGCAAGCTGCCATCTGGGGAGTCCATCGGGGGGCTGTCAGGATCCAGGAGGCCCTGAGGGAGAGCGTCCACCCCAAGAAGCCCTCAGAGCCTCCCCGGTCGCCCAGCAGAAATAAGCCGGGGCGGGGAGATTGGCTGACTAATTAAAGGGGTCACAACTGGATTTTGCTCAACAAAAATGTTCCTGGTGGGGTTTTTTTTTTTGGTTGGCTTCAACTGGATGTATTGAACAAAACTGGGGGCGGTGAACCTCTGGGGAGACTGGGAAAAGTAGGTGGGAGAGGGGAAGGGGAAACCTGGGAGGAGGAAGATGGAAGGGGGAAGCAAGGGGAAGAAGGGGGGGAGAAGCTCAGGGCCCAGGGTTGGGGGTCTCGCCAGACCAACTTGATTTTCATGCAGACCTGCTCCTGGGTTCGCATGTGGCCTTTGGTGGCCAGGCTGGCAGCTATCCTGCCCTAGACGGCCGCATTCCTCCATCTAGTGCAGAGATCATGGACATTGGTGGCAACCCCCCCAAACCTGAATAAGGTCCATGATCTCCATCCTGGACCAGGAAGGCTCTTGCCTTCTCCGGGCCCTGGCAGGCTCTTGGGGGCTGGCA